CTGTCTCTCAGACCATTGGAGAGTGCACACTGGGGGCCCAGGATGAGTCGACTGCTAAGCAGGACAGGCAGTGACAGCAAAAACACCCGGAGGGCCAGATAAATGTGCTAGGCAGCTCGTATGTGGCCCACGGGCCGTAGTTTGAGGACGACTGGTCTAAACCATGGGCTGAGGGCAAGGGCAGGCTCTGGCTTCTAGAAGGAGCAAAAGCATCACTGCTGGGTCAGTATGGCATCCAGGTTATTAGAATAGGCTTTGGAGTCAGCCGGGCTTGAATCCCTAATGCCACCACCTTCTGTGTCATCCTGGGTGGGTTTTATGATCTTGCTGGGCCTTGGTTTCCTCATCTGTAAACAGAACGATGATAGAACTCTCCCACTAATAGGGCCGTGGCGAGGATTGAGAGCTATGAGTCGTCTAGACAGCAGCGCCTGGGGTGTGGTAAGCGCCGGTAACTGTTAGCTGTGCTTATTATGTGTAGGGTCATTGTGAGGATGAAGTTTGGCGGTAAGAGCAGAACCCTCATATTACATATATCCAGGACCTCATCTAGTGCCTGGATCTTCCTGGGGTTCGACAGATGCTGACTCTGTTTGTTCATCTGTTGTTCAGTGGCAAGTGCTTTAGACAAAAGTTACATGGGAGAATCTCTGACTCACAGGTTGGAAGGGTTTGGAAATCATCTAGTGCAATGCCTGCATCTTACAGGTGAGGAAATTAGGCTCAGAGAGGGGAAGTCACTACTTAAATGCACAACTGGTTGATGGTAGAAACAGGGCAAGAACCAGGTGTCCTGAATCCTGATTCAGGATGGTCCTGTCCCAGGGTGGAAGCTTAGTGTCCAGCACTCGGAATCTGGCTGGCTTTGCTGTCAGAGAAAGCCAAGGCCCTCAAGTAGCTTTCCTTGTCCTTGAGATCTTGTGGTTTCTAGTGGACTTCAGGTAAGACATGTTTTCAATAAGACTGTCCCTCAAGGTGATAGGATTCTAGAGTGTTCTTTATGTCCTTCTGCCAGTGGCTTGGGGCAGTTACACTAAGGTGTTCACCATTCACCATCAGTCCACAAGCCATGCTTGGGGTGCTTCCCCTTCTTTGGGATCCAATGCGCAGGGTGGCGCCCAAGCTCTCTGGTCAGCTGGGGCGTCTGCAGTGTTCCACTTGCTCTTCCTGCAGGTAAAGGGCCTCAGCTCATGGCAGCCCCATTCGCTCACCTCAGGAAGGTGGGGACCCACCACCTGTTGGTTTGCTCACTCAGAGAACACAGATTTGTTGGGCAGCTGATGTGTTCTTACCTCTGTGCTGCCAACTCAGTGGGGTATATGGCAAATGTCAAAGCCATGCCCCTCCCTCCAAAGCCACACAGACAGCACCACGCACAGAGGGAGTAATTAGAGCACAATTAAACACTCAGCTATGGGCTGATGGCTTGAAAGTTCAGGGGAAGTTCAGAGGCGGGTTCCTGGGGGAGGTGGGCTTTGAGCTGGCCCTTGAAGAACGAGTAAGATTTGAGGAGGGGAAGTCCCAGGGCATGCAAGGTTGGCAGTGTGCCGGGGAGTGGTGGACACAGGTTGCTTGGTGCCCAGCGAGCAGGCCAGCTGGGCTGGAGTGAGGGGCAGGGAACTTTGGATGGATGCTGTATTAGTTTGCTAGGGCTGGCCACAAACCGGCAGCTTAAACAACAGAACTTTATTGTCGGCCAGGCGCTGTGGCTCACGCCTATAATCCAAGCACTCTAGGAGGCCGAGGGGGGAGGATCGCTCAAGGTCAGGAGTTCGAAACCAGCCTGAGCAAGAGTGAGACCCCATCTCTACTAAAAATAGGAAGAAATTAATTGGCCAACTAAAAACATATAGGAAAAAATTAGGCAGGCATGGTGGCGCATGCCTGTAGTCCCAGCTACTCGGTAGGCTGAGGCAGGAGGATTGCTTGAGCCCAGGAGTTTGAGGTTGCTATGAGCTAGGCTGACGCCATGGCACTCTAGCCCGGGCAACACAGTGAGACTCTGTCTCAAAAAAAAAAAAAAGAACTTTATTGTCTCACAGTTCTGGAGGCCAGAAGTCTGAGATCAGGGTGTCAGCAGAGTTGGCTCCTTCTGAGAGCTGCAAGGGAGAATCTGTCCCAGGCCTTTCCCCCGGCTTCTGGTGGTTCACCGGCAGTCTTCGGTGTTCCTTGGCTTGTAGAAGCATCACCCATCTCTGTCCACATCTTCACGTGGTGTTTTGTGTGTGTGTGTCTGGCTCTGTGTCCAGATTTCCCTTTTGCATAAGGGCATGGTCCTATTGGGTTATGACTGGGCCCTACTCCAGCATGAGAGCTCACCTTAACTAATTACATCTGCAGTGACCCTATTTCCAAATAAGGTCACGTTCGGAGGTACTGGGGGCTAGGACTGTATCCTATGGATATTTGGGAGACATAGTTCAACCCACAGCAGATGGGTACTTTATGTCTTTTGTGGTTGTAAGGATCATAACCCCAACTTGAACCAGCTGAGGCGAAAAGGCAGGTGTGTTTCAGCTTAGATGGGGTTGGGCAGAGGGGGGCCTTGGGGTGCTTTTCCAGGACCCTGTATCTCTCCCCCACCTTCTCTCTATAGCGCAGCTTCATTCACAGTTGGTTCTGTCCACGGCCAGCTGCCATTGAAAGCTCATAGCATCACTTCTCTCCAGCTTCACCCCCAGGAAGGACTGACCCTGCTCCCAATTTCATTCTATAAAATTCCAGATCAGGACTCTGATTGGCTTAGCCTAAGTCTGATGTTGTGTTGGTTAAATAATGTCCTCTTCCCTCCCCACCCCCAATTTATGTCCAGCTGGAATCTCAGAATGTAAAATAAGGTCTTTGCAGATGTAATTAGCTGAGTTAAGATGAAGTTATGCTGGAACAGAGTGGGCCCTAAATCCAGTGACTGGTGTGCTTTATGAGGAGGCCACGTGACAAACATGGCAGAGATTTCGTGACATAGCTACAAACCAGGGAACTCCAAAGATTGCCAGCAGTCCCTGGAAGTTAGGAAGAGGCAAGGGAGCATTCTCACTTAGAGCCTTCAGAGGGGGCATGGTCCTGCCAACACCTTCATTTTAGACTTCTAGCCCCCATACTGCATGACAATATGCTTCTGTTGTTTTAAGCCACCCAGTTTGTAATAATTTGTTATGGCAGCTCTGGGTCACCAACACAGATATACAGTTCTCAGACCAGTCACTGTGGCCAGAGGGTGTGTGTAAAGGCCTGTGACTCGTCCAGCTTGGAGCAGATGCCTGTGCCCAGGCCAGTCACTGTGGCCAGGGAGCTGGGGCCTGTGAGAAGATGCTGCCCTCTTAGTTAAAGCCCCAGGTCGGAGTTGGGGTGGGAAGCAGCACACAGGCAGGCAAGGCATAAAGATGGGTAAAGGAAGACAAACTGGAGACGTTCATGACAGTGGCTAATAGCGTGTGGTTTCTATTTGTTTGGTGCTTGCCATGTAGTACACGTTGGCTGGATGTGTTACAGATACTGTCCCTAATCCTTACAGTAGTTCTGCAAGGTCAGTAGATTTTACCATTCTAGCTTTGCATTCGAGGAAGCAGAGGTCCTGAGAAGTTAGCAATGGCCACAGTCACGTGGCTAGTAAGAAGCAGAACCGGGATTTGAACTCTGAGGACTAAATCCCCACTCCTTTTGCTATGTAGCTGCCATCCCCGAGGAAGACCTGGTTTCTGGAGGACAGTAAAGTGGGCTGTAGGCATCGGCCCTTGATGGCGCAAGTTTTAGGGGATTGCTTTTCTTAGGCCCCAAGTCTAAGTGGAGTCAAGTCAACTAATAGTGTGTGTGTGTGTGTGTATGTGTGTGTGTGTGTGCGCATACAAGCCCCCATGACTGATGAAGAGACATTTTAGGCAGAGCCAGCTAACAGTGCAGGATGGACAGAGGGGCCCGAGGCAGTAGCCCTGCAAGGAGGTGCTTCCCATCGTCCATATCTGGCAAATGTGAGCTCTCCCTGTGGGGCCTTTTTAGCTGTCTCCCTGAGCTGGGCCAGGGCCAGTTTCTCTCCTCTCACCATCCCCTCTGCAGCTCAGAGCGTGACAGTCCCAGGCTGGGCAGTGAGTCAGGAGGACACAAGCAAGAGGACAAATGTCTTGGCTCTCAAAGGAGATGCCCTGGCAGCTGACCCCATGCCTTCTGGAACTTGTGGCCGTCCTTGCCCTCCCCAGGTGGAAGGGCAGTGGGTCTCCTCCCGCAGGCTGCTCAGGACTGGGCTTGGTGGTGTGGGCAGGGTGGGTGTGATTGCTGTGGTTTCTGATGTCTCCTTGGGAGCCAGAGGATTGTCTCTCCTGGTGACATCCCGAGTAGAAGGGATGATTTGGAGGGGAGATCTCAGGCCTGCCCCGTCTTACAGGGAAACTCATTGCCAACCTTGACCAAATGCTTGCCGAGTGACAGGTGCTTGTCCCGGTCTGGGCTTTCCCAAAAGCAGACTCCAGGACAAGAGTTTGAGTGACAGTGGTTTGTGGGAAGCTCAGGTGCTGCCAGTAGGGAGGCAGGGCCTTTTTCAGGGGGAGGGAGCAGCTGGGCTCTGTGCTTGAAACCTGGCTCCACCGTCAGGGAAGGAAGCTCAGTCCAGTGGAGACACTGGGAAATGGTGCCAAATACGTTGGTTTAGAATCACCCACCGAGGGCCACGGGAGAAGGTAGGATATTTATACACCAGCTTCCTGACTTTTTCAACTGGTGGCCGCTCCTGAGACTGTGGGGAAGGGCCGCTGGGCACAGACGCGAATCCTGGAGTTTCCAGTCAGGCAAGAGCCGGAGGAGAGACCTGAAGCCGCACAGCTGCCCTGTGTGGGGAAGTCCTGTTATCATTATTCCTGTTTTGCAGAGGTGGAAACTGAGGCAAGAGAGTCACATGCCTGAGTCACAGAGTGTGAGGCAGAGGCAGGAGGTGCTCGTGCTCGGTGAGGAGCACTGTGCTTTTCATGATCCTTTCTCTCGTTTCAGCAGCTTAAGAATGGGAGGCGGGGCGGAGGATGGGGAGCCCCAGCAGATCACGTTGAATATTTACGTTCCTCCCGCCCAAGCCTTAGATGTTTTCATTTAGTCCTCTCAGCAGCTCAGCCAGATGGGTAACTGCTTCCCGTTGTTTCCAGGTGTGGAATCTGAGACTCAGAAGTGTTAGGTGACTTACTCAGAGTCACACAGCAGGACAGGGGCTGAGCCAGCAGCTGAGTTTGAGTGTCATTGACTCCAGAGACACACAGGCTGCTTCAGGGCGGCAAGTAGCCCAGGAGATGGGCCAGGCTCAAGGCCACACTGATGGGCCTGTGAGGCCAGGCCAGGCCTGCACCTTTCCTCATCCTTACACCAGTCTGCTGTCTTGCCTCCGGCCCTGGCCTGTGTTGTATTTAGTGCCAATCAGTCGATGACCGAGGAGGAGCTTAACTAAGCAGCAGTGAGGCTGTGGCTGGCCGTGGGGGAGCCCTTTCCTCCTGCTCTCCCCACTCCCCTTCCACCTGCTGCTGCTTGGCCGCAGAGGGAGGCGAGCCCTCCACGTCTAGCTGATTTATGTTCTCCGTTGAAACAATAGTGTTTAATCTGGAAAGGGCTAATCAATTTTTTATGCTGATTATGAATAGGCCAGCTGTGCCTGCTTCTTTATTCATGGAGCTTCAGGAACAAGCCCATTTCCCAGGCCAGGCCACCTCGGTGATTTATGCCACAGAAGCCCTGTGACAAGGGAAGTCCGTCAGTGACCTTGCCTGAGCCACTTTGGAAGGGAAGCCACAGTGACTCCTGGTGTGTGTGCATGCGTGTGTGTGTGTGTGTGTGTGTGTGTGTATGTGTGTCTAACTAGGGAGGGTAGCCTGACTCCAGGTAGAGAGACAGACTTGAGTATGTACGTACGTGTGTGTGTGTGTGTGTGTGTGTGCGCACATACATGAGTAGGGGTTGGCTGATATGGGGCTGGGGCACAATTAGGGCAGTGTAGGATGGAGGGTGAGAGTTATAGGATCATGGAATTAGAAAGGCTAACTGGTCAAGCAGTCTAACACTCTCCTGTTACAAGTCAGGAATTAAGACTCACAAAAAGTGAGGGGACTTCTCTAAGACCCCACAGCTGGTTGGTGGCAGAGGTGGGCCTAGACCATACACCGGCCCTCGTACCCTTACTCAGAGTGCAGAACTCTCTCCATGGTGGTACACAAGGGGTGGAGAGCTGGAGGAAGGGACTGTGTGGGCTGCTTTATGAGTTGCTTGTGGACCCATCACAACAGCTCTGCTCATATTTTGGGTACCAATGAGCTATAGTCAGAACTTAAGAGGTCAGGACAAATGAGAAATTTTTCTGGGGTGTGGGCTGCAGCTTTTAGGTGTTCTCGGAACCACAAATAAGGTCATAGGAGTGAATAAGGCTTTCTGGGGGAGGTGAGACTCGAGCAGGACTTTAGCATGGTCAAGAGGAGCAGGTACCGAAGGGCAGGAGAGGGGCTTTGGGAGTGGACAGAGCTGAGGACGTCATCCCTGCTGCTGTGACCTCCGCAGGATCTGAACCCTGAGCCAGACTAGGGAGGTCTGTGCCACCTTGGCCGGGGTGGGGCAAGTGCGGGGCTAGACGTCTGGGTGCCCACAGGTGAGGGCTCCTGTGTGTGTGGACTCTGGGTGGCTGCTGTCCCTTCTGGGGCTTCACCAGTCATTTGAGTGTTCCTTTAGTGACTCTTCAGGTATTGGCTGACCTTCTGTGTGCCGGCCCCGGGGATTACGTGGGTGAACAAGTTGCCATCAGGGCACTGTGACCCAGTTGTATGGGAATGTCCACTGTTAAATGAGTGACCAGAAAAATTAAGCTTTAATGACTCTTGTGATAAATGCCCTGAGGAAAAGTCTAGGGTGCTCTGAGCAAGGAGACAGGGTGGGGGTGTTGAAGCTGAGGCCAGAGGGTAGTTAAGGGACAGGAGGACGGGACAGAGAGAATGAGAACACAGAGGGCTTGAGTGGGAAGGAGCTTGGGTCTGACCAGGGATGGGAAGGGGCTGGTGGCAGCAGGGCAGACAGAGACCCTGAAAGATGAGGCTGGAGAGGTCAGCTGGGCCTCCAGGGACATCAAGGCTGGTGTGGGGGAGAGGAATAGAACTCAACAGAAGGCCAGTTAACGAGGCTGTTATGGTTGCCCAGACAAGAGGTGATGGTGGCTTGGACCCCACTCGGGGAGGTGGAGAGGAGTAGACCGACATGTTTCGGAGACTAACTCAACAGGACTTGGGATGAATTAAGTGGGGAGGGGTAAGGGAGATGGAGAGGCTACCCCAAGATCTGCATGGACAGTGGGGACCCCCTTAGGGCTGTCCACAGCGCTGAAGGGGACAGTGGGGGGCAGTGTACATGTATGTGTATGTGTGGGAGCAGGCTATCCTGCTAACAGTTTGGGGAAGGAATCTCCTACAGGGCTGGGATTTGCAGTCACCCCCTTTTCCTGAGAGCAGGAGGGATGGGTTTGTGGTTAGAAGGCCAGTGGGTCTGCATTGCCTTGAGCCATTTGGGGTTCAGCATTGAAAGGCTGAATAAGCTACAGTCCCTGCTTTCTAGATACTGAAAAAAAAAAATCCTCCCCGATTTAATAAGCTCTCTAGGGTGTTTGTGTGTATGTGTTTCCCTGTAACTGGGTTTTTGGAAGCAGAGGCTGTTCCTCTGACGGCTGGAGCTGCTCCTGCAAATCAACCCCAAAGTCCTTGTAGCGATGAGAAGTCTCTCGTGGGCCCCACTGCGCCTCCGTCTTTGGCGTGAGACCTGAGGACTGGTACTTCCGGGTGAGGTTGCAGAGGAAACTAGGCTCCTCGGGAGGAGAGGAAAGCGTCATTTCAGCCCAGAGGTTTTAGCATCTGGCACAGGGGCTGGGAAGGAGTAACATTTAGGAGGCAGCCCAGGAGCGGGGGACCCCTTGCCCTGGGAGGGGAAACAGGGACTGGTTCACGTGACATGGTGGAACTAGGAAGCTGTGATGTACCCCTCCCTGGTTTCCCCTCTGGGGGTTCATGTTTGGCCTGTGTTCCCCTGTCTTGTTCCCCAGCTTTCCAAGCCCCATCACTGCCCTGGGAAATACAGCAAGAGACTGAAAACTGACTTCTGGGAGTGTGGCACTAATGCTCTATTGGGAGCCTGTATTCGGCTTCAATAAATACACATTTATTATCTTACTCTTCTGCAGGTCAGAAGTCCTAGAGTTGAGGTGTTGGCCAGCCTCTGTTCCTTCTAGAGGCTCTTGGGGAGAATCTCTTTTGTTGGCTTTTCCAGCTTCCAGAGGCCGCCTGCGTTCCTCCATCCTTGTAGCCAGCAGCATAGCATCTTCCGATCCCTCTCTCCTCTGCTTCTGTCATCATGTCACCTTTTCTAATTCTGACCCTCCTGCTTCTCTCTTACAAGAACCTTTGTGATTGATTACATTGAGCCCACTTATGTGGTCCAGGATACTCTCCCATCTCGAGAGCCTTAACCTCATCACACCTGCGTGGTCTCCTTTGCCACGTAACATTTGCAGCTTTGGGGGATTGGTTTTGAACTCCTGACCTTGAGCAATCCACCTGCCTCGGCCTCCCAGATTGCTAGGATTACAGGCATGAGCCACTGCGCCCGGCTGGGGGAGTGGGACATGGACATCTTTGAGGGGCCATTTTTCTGCCTACTGCAGGGCTAGATGGTAAATCTTGTAGGTGTTGCAGGCTGCATGGTCTCCGTCACAACTTCTTACCTTTGCTGTTGTAGCGGGAGAGCAGCCGCAGACGATGCGTAAAGGCCTTGGCAGATAGGGTTGCTGACCCTGGAGATGGCATTTTTAATCGCTGCTCTGCTTTGCCAGGGTGAGCTGGTAGTCTGGGTGTGGTTCCCTGTAAGCGTGGGCTTGGTCTTCCCAGTAGATCCATGGAGTCTGGGTTTACTTTCCTTTAAAATTCCTGGGCGCTACTGCTATCACACGTAAAGTGAGTCTGGAAAACTCTTACTGGGTGAAACATACTTAGGTGTACAAAGGGCTCTGGTTCCTGAACTCTGGCTCTGAGGCATGGGGACACAGCTTAGGCTATGCTTGCTGTGTGGCATTATGCTGGGGCTAAGGAGGCCCATCCTGATACCATAAGCAAAGGATGCTGTGCTTTATTTGCTCTCTTCCTATACGTTTGGGTGTAGGAACATCTGGAGGTTTCTGGAAAAGCCATTTGGGGTTTCATGGTGGTGAGCCCATCAGGTTTTAGAATTGGTGGGCCTCATCAGAAATGAGTGTGAGCCCTTGCGGCCAGGCTTTCTCCCCAGCGTGCAGGAGCTGTGGATGAGGACCCCTTCGCAGGAGGGAGACCAGGAGCCCACTTCTGCCTGGATTCTGGTTTGGAGTTGCTGGCCTTTGTATTTCCAGCTGTCTCCTGTTGGTGTGTCTCGTTCCACCTATTTGTGGTTCACACATGCTGTTCCCTCTGCTTGGAAGGGTCTCCTTTCTTTCTTTAGCTAGTTAACTGGTTCCTCATCCTTCAGGTCTCAGGTCCTGGTCACCTCCTCAAAGAAGCCCTTCCTACCCTCCTGCCCAGGTTCAAGCCCTGAACCTGGCTCTTATGGTACCAGCTCTCCCTTCATCACACTTACCAGAGTTGGCCATCTTTCTTCTATTTGTGATTACTTGGTTAATTCATTTCTGTCTCCCTTCCTGGACTTTAAGTTACAGTAGCAACTCCAGAGGGTGGTGCTCATGTCCAATTTGGATCCATTCCTCATTGACTGCCCAGTGACTGGCACAGTGACCTGCATGTATTAGTCACTCAGTAAATGTTTGTTGGATGAATAAACAATTGACCTTTAGCGAATGTGTTCTCCATAGAATGGAGGCAATAACATCTCCTCTACCTAACCTTGAGAGAGGGTTGAGAATTACATAAGAGTCCTTTGAAGGCACCAACATTATGCAAGTAGAAGGAATTACCCATAGTTGAGCACCCAGTCCCTGCAGAGCAAAGATGTCCTGACATTCCCTTGTACCGACCCAGGCTCAAATTCAGGGAGGAGGTGGTAAGCCCTCACATGGGCAGGCTTGCAGCGGAGGGTGTAGAACTCAGCTTGCCTATTCCTGGGTCTAAGCTCCTGCCACGAGCTCTCTCTCGGCCCTGTGCTGGGTGGGGTGTGAGCACTCGGCCTCCGGGTATGGCTCCAAGGGTGGCTCATCGCCCTGTATTCCGGATCATCCAGTACATAGCTGCCTAGGCTGGGCCCTGGCTGCGGGATTCTCCAGTTCATCCTGCTCTCTGTCCAGGTTCTCTGGTCTCTTTTAGCCCAGAGATCTCTGTCCCAGGCAGGGACATTGACATGTCACCCTGTGAGGCTATAGGAGTTATTAAGATGGGGACTGCTGAAAGATTAGATTTATGGCAGCCAACGGTGGATTATGAAGAATAATTTATCAAATGTCAGTGCCTGCAGCCTACAATTTACAGAAGGTTTGCTTAAACTGAGGAGATGTGATTGGACTGCCCCCTCCCCCACCCCTAATGAATGACAGCTCTAATGGATGGCTCCCCAGGCTGACCAGCCACACTGGGTGTTTATCTGCTTTTTATTAATCATTATTATCACAACATTTCCATAGAGTCCCTCCACCCATGGCTCTCGAGGTGCCCAGCACCAAGAAGGCTCTGGGAGGTGTTTCAGCTCCATTGGATCGGCTGGGAGGCTCAAAGTCCCTCTGTATGGAAAGGACAGGGAAAATCCAGCCTCAGCTCCATTCATTCACTAGGAAATACTGAGCACCAATTATGTGTCAGGCGCTTTAGGTACAGTGCTGAGCAAAAACAGAAGTCTATAGTCTAGAAGGAAAGATTAAATTAAGCAAATATAAATGGAGGCAATTGCTCTTGAGGACGGCACACAAACTCAGAGAATGTACTCGGGGGAGGCTTCTCTGAGGAGGTGACAGTTGAGCTGTGATTTAAAGATGAATGGGGGATGGGGAGCCTTCTGGGCAGAGGGGATGGCCTGTGCAAAGGCCCTGCGGCAGACAGGGGCGAGTGTGCTGGTGGCTGAGAGAGGCCATCTGGTTGAAGCAGAGGGAGAAGGTGGGGAAAGAGAAGTAGGCAGGGTCAGGCCCTGTGGGTCCTGATCAGGGTTTTGACCCCTGGAAGCTGGTTAAGTGACTTAATCAGAGAGAAGTGACATGGTCAGCTTATATTTGCAAAACTCACCCTAGCTAGATGTGGAGGATGGATGGGAGGAGGTGGGGTGGGCTAATTAGGAGGTCATTGCAGTCTCTGGGGACACAAGGTTGGGGGCTTATGCCCCTTGACAGGGCAGGACTGAGAGGCTGGAGTTGCTGACTCGAGGTGTGGTAGTCTTCATCATACCCCCTGCCTTCTTCACTGGAGGCACCCATTGTTCTACCACAGTTATTGGGGGCTACGATAGCCTCTGTTCTAGATCCTTTATGTATGTGGTTTCATAGAACCCTATGAGATCAGTATTAAAATAACCATTTTACAGATAAAGAAACTGAGGCACAGAGGAGTTATGTAACTTATCCAAGCTGGTGCACCATGGAGCGCAGGATTTGTGCCTGGGCAGTGTGGCCCAGAGTGTGCTTTGGAATCACTATGCCTTCCAACCTCTCAGCCCCAGCTGTCCTGACCAGCTGTCAAGCTTGTGCTGGGGAGCACGCCCACGACCATCCTGGTGTGTGGCTGCCCCAGGCTCCTTGTGTCCCTGCCTGTCATCTGCTGGGCACTATCATGTGGGAGGAAAGAAGCTTGGTCTGACCTGTGATGCCCTTGGCAAAGCCAGGTGGACGATTACCTGTGCTCGGAGGCTCCTCAGCAACGGGTAAGGCTTGAGCACTGTGCCAGCCTCCACGAGGGAAGGCAGTTTGGTAGTTTCTGGCGTTGGCTCTTGTGGAGAGGGCCTCCAGTTCTGCTGCCGGCCCTTCGTTTTCTTCCCAGCGTGGCAGTGGCAACAGCTAATGGCTCTGCAGAACTGACAATTTGATCTTTCAGAACCCCAGAAAGAACACAAACTCCAGGGAAGACAAGGTCTGCGTGTCCTCGAGCTGTTATTGCTGTTATTATTTTTATTATAATAATTTGCTCTGCGAGGGAAGCTGAGGGTGGGGGTATTCCCGCCTGGAGGCAGGGCAGCTGTTGAGCGGGGCCCAAGCCCAGACTGGGAGTGGGGAGGGAAAGAGATATTTGATGCCTGTCCTCTCCTCCGATTGTCCAGGGTCTACATAGTCACATTAGAGGTCTCCTCTTCTTACGTTGCCAGACATTCCCTTCCCGGCTAGGTGAAGCCACAATGGACAGGAGACACTGTCTCCAGCAGGCCCTGCTAAGATGCAGATGTGTTTTTCTGAGAGGCGGTTGCCTTCTGAAGTCTCCTCATGGCCAGAGACGGTATCTGGTTTTTGGCCTAAATACCTAACATGATTTCTGTCATGTGACAGGCCTGTAGTAAATATGTGTTGACTGATTGGCTTAGGCTAAGGAATGACAAATTGGTTTCATGTCGTATATTAACTCTGGTCAATTGGTAGTGGCTGCCTGGAGCACTGTGTTGAGAGAGATTCCAAGGCATCATCTGGGCTCGGCAGGAATGGATGCTGTGACTGATTAGTGATGTCTGGCATGGTTGTGGTTGGGGTGTATTAGTTAGCTATTGCCGCATAACAAATTATCCTACAAAATTTAGTGCCTTAAAACAACAAACATTTGTTATCTTACAGTTTCTATGGGTCAGGAATTTGAGAGTGACTTACTGGATGATTCTGGCTGAGAGCCTCTCATGAGGTTGCAGTCAAGATGCTGGCCAGGGCTGCAGTCACATGAAGCCCATCTGGGGCTGGAGGATTGCTTCCTAGATGGCTCACTGTTGGCAGGAAGCTCAGTTCCTTACCACACAGACCTCTCTGCAGGCTGCTTGAGTGTCCTCATGACATGCCAATCTGCTTCCTCAGAGCAAGCAGTCCGAGAGAGTGAGGAGCATGTCACAGTGCCTTTTGTGACTTAGTCTTGGAAGTCATGCACTGCCACTTCCTCTATATGCTATTTGTTAGGAGTGGGTCATTAATCCCAGCTCACACTCAAGGGGAGGGGGTAGGCTCCACCTCTCAAAGGGAGGAATATTTAAAAATTGTGAACATATTTTTAAATGAGTGTGCATATGCCATTTATTTGCTATCACTGTCTAGTGTCAACCTTGGAAGGTTCAGAAATGACCTTGAAGTGGTGTAGGGATGCCTGGGGCAGGACCGTGGGAAGTGGCTCCAGGAGGAGGAGCTGGGGTCCAGGCAGAGGAGCAGGAGAGGTGGCAGTGGGTTTTCTGCCCAGGAAGATGTCAGGGTTTTTGCAGAGTTGTTGCTAGCTAGCTCAGCACTCCCTACCTAGCCTTAGGCAGGGAGTGCTGAGGGGGGGGGTGGGTAAGGTCCACTCCAGCACTTCCATTATTGCAGATGGAAGCTTGTCTCTCTCCCCACCAGGCTCCCATGGATGGCAGCTGGCATCCAGCCATGTGTGGGGTGGGCCATCTTGGGACCGCTGCAGCTGATGCCATGGTAACCTGCCCCTGGTTGGCTCTGCTTCCAGTGCCCTGGGCAGTCTCCCCAGCTCCTAAGCGGGAACTGCCTGGCCTTGGCATCTAGGCCTGGACTTGCCTGCTTTGAGGCAGGCTCTTGTCTGCATCTGGAGCCAGGCAGTTCAGGGTTTGTGAGATGCATTATTGATATGGTGTTGTAGTTTCTGAAACCACAATTGGCCTGATGTGACTGAGTAATGGGGACGGTGGGCTGGAATGTTAGAAACTGGGCCATGTCAGAAAATCCAGGCCATCCCCAGGTCTGTGGCTGGTGGGGCTGGCTAAGACACCCCAAGCAAAATTCCCTCAGGGTCATAGTGTGGTTTCTCCAGAAGATCCTGACTTCCTGTCACCTTATTTTGGGGCCAGTACCTGGCTGCTCAGAGTATGGCATTTGCACATGCTGCCCATTAGCCTGGCTTCATGGGAATCTGCACACTTGACCTTTGGAGAATCTCTCACTCTGCCCTTGGACTTGGGGTTGATGTCACTTGGTCTCCTGATTCCCAGGTCCCAGCTGAAGTCAGACTGTTGAAGACTTAACTGCCCCCATTTTCCAAGCCCCTAGGGGATGACACATTTCTTTTTACCCCTCTGAGGTTTTTCTTTATACATGTGCGTTCATGTGTTCATGTGCACACAGACTCTCTCTCTCTCTCTCTCTCTCTCTCTCTCTCTCTCTCTAAAACCAAAACTAGAAAAACTTTTTTCCTGATTATGTTTCCTTTTCTAGACAGGGACATCGATATATTCGAATCGTGGACCAACAGTAATTAAAAAGCACATAACTAGTCATATTAAAATGCAATTGTTTTACTTAATTGATTTTGCCACCAGACCCAGAGGGGGGGAAAAGGAACGGGAAAGAAAACCTCAGAAAGGGAGATGAGTTTCTATGAGTGACTGGAGGCAGCTGAGGGCCCTGCTTGAACCTAATTGCTGCAAATGCTGCAGTTTGTTTCTGCTAATGGTTTCTGCTGAAAGGGCTGGGGGCTGGGGGACGGGGCCTGATTGTTGGGGGGTGGCGTTTGTTTCAGCTGCATGGGGGGTATGATTCTGCTTTCGGGACAGGGTCTATTTTTCCTTACCATCTATCAGCATAAAGTACTTCCACTGAACACTTTGAATCAAGGTTCCATTTAGAGATACTTTATTCATATTTAATTACAGGCTGCAGCACCAATCTTTAATTACCTTTTTTATAAGCCAGCTAGGAACATCCACGAGCAATCAATTATTGTGTGTGTGTGTGTGTCTGTGTGTGCTCACTTATGCACAGGAGGGTGTGGGCGTGTGACTTGCTTCCTGATAGAGAGAGACAGGATGGCTGCAGGGGCGCTGGGACGTGGTAGGGTGGGCACCTGCCTGGCAGGTTCCCTGTGCCCCGTGAGTGGTGCATCCTCATTTCCCATGCCTCTCTTGGCTTCCACTGGCAAAACCGGGGATGTGGGCAAGTCCTTGCAGCTGTGTCTTATTCAGGGTGCTGAGTTGCTTGTTGGGCTTGGGTGATATTTTAGGGCCCCCTTGATCCCCTGGAGGGGGCAGGGAATTGTGGGAAGCCTCCTTCCTGTCCCCTGGGGGTATGGCAGGCGAGGCTTTCTTTCACCCTGGAGATTAGGATCTGCTTATGTTGGCCCTTTCCTTCCCCCACCTCCCTTGGCAGGTGCCCTTGGCAGCTGCTCTTGCCACATGGCCCTAGCGATGCCATGTCACTCTTCAGTTGCAATGACTCTGCAGTGCCCCTGCAATGACACTGGTTTGAAGACTGTTTGTCCTTCTCAGACAGCAAGCAGATGTTCCTGGGAGCCAGGCAGAGACTTGGGGTTGGAAGTGAGGTCAGACGACCCCCAAGTCCCTTTGCAGCAGGAAGATTGGGCCCATCTACCTGCCTGGAGGATGAGGGTCTGAATTCATAGCTCTGCCCCAGAAAACCTTCTCCTTACTGCTCCTTTAGGAAATACTAGAGAGTTTCCAGAGGGATTCGGTGTCGATCTCATTATGTAACAGCCGGGAACATTGCCGGAGTTCTACCTTCCCTTCTATTCCTGGATCCGTGTCCGAGCCAGAGGGTGGGGAGGGGATGAAACTCACTCTCACTGAGTCTTTTAGGGGTACCTGGCTGCTTCCCTTTATCCCACTTGGGGTCATAGAACACACGGTATCTGTCAGAGCCCCTTCAGTTGTGTGTGACAGAAAACTTAAACTGACTTGAGCAAATAAAGAAATTATGGGGTGGGTTCTCAGGCATGGCTAGATTAAGAGTTTCAGACACTGTGACCAGGATTCACTCCCTCTGTCTCTTGGCTCTGCTTTCTTCTTTGTTGCTACTATGTGACTCTCAGCAGCTCAACTCCAGGCTTATATTTTTATGTCCAAATTCAACAGAAAGAAAGCATCTCTTCTGTAGTTCAAACAAAAGTAAAACAATTGAGTCATGTGTCATCTCAACCAATCTGTGTGGCCAGGGGTCTTCAGGGTTCTGATTGGCCAGACCAGGGTCCCATACCCACCTTGGAGTAGCAGGTAGAGTCTGCCTAGGTAAATCTCACACATGACCTGTGCTTTTACTACTTTGGAAAGTTATACATTTGAGGTCTTTGGATTAGTAGGAGTGTGGGATGGGAGGAGGAAGGTCAAGCCATTTCAAAGGGAAGAGAAAGTTGATTCAGTTATTCTCCAGTGGAGAGAATAGTAGGTCCAGTCATTCAACGAATATTTGTTTGGTGCTGACTAGTTCTAGCCCTGTTCTGGTTGCAGGGAATTCAGCAGTGAACAGAACAGCAAAAACCCCTGCCCGCTTGGAGCTGATGTTCTAATGGGGTTTATAGGGGTGACGGTCCTGGTGTTCTCCCATCCCAAGCCCAGTCCCATGACAAAGGATTCTTGTGCTGAGAGTGCCAGGGGGATAGGGGTGGATGACGAGGGAAGAATCTTGCCATTAGGGATCCTTGAACTTAGGAAGGAGGAAAAGACAAGTGTCTTGTGGGGGAGCAGGGAGCACCAGGCACAGGGAGGGGTTCCAGTAAGAATCTAGTGAGAAGGACGAGGAACCAGAAGCCAGACCCACCACTGTGACAGAGGAGCGTAGGCCCTTCCCCATGTGGCGCGTGGGCCTTTGGCCTGGGCGGGATGTTTGATAAATGGGATGGAGATTAGTGGAAGCTCCAAAAACGATGACAGGGCTGGAGGGACTCATTTATGAGATGAGATTAGCAAAGTGACGGTGTGGCCTGGCAGACAGGATAGGGTGGTGGGCGTGGGGACTTCTGACGTCCGAGGAGCGGGGCGGTGGGGCGGGGCAGGGCAGAAGGGCTGCTGCGGAAGTGGGGACCAAGGGAAGAGTGGCACGGACTGAACAGGCCTCAGAGAGTGAGAGCCGGGGCGGGTGGCAGGAGGGAGGCATGGCACTGTTATATCCATACACATCTGTGCATGTGCATGTGAGACTGTCTGCACTTTCCACAGTCTTGGGGCCGTACAGGGGCTTAAAGAAATGGAGAGGACTAGGATTTCAGCCATTGTTGAAAAGGGCCATTGGGGGCTCCTTCCTATCTGGTAGGATATTCATATCTGGACCATGTAGGTGTGACCACTTGAGTCAGAAAGGATTTTTCTTTCAGAAGAATCGGTTTGGCATTTCTAAGAGGGAAGGAGGGAGGAGGAGAAGGAAGAGTAAGGAATATACTTTCCACTTCATAGAAACAGAATGTGAAGCACAGACAGGGTTGGCTGGCACTGTAGGTGAGGACCAAAAGCAAGGCTCTGGCTTGCAACCCTGGGATCTCTCAGGGTGGCTGGGCTGTGGCAGGCTCGGGGACCCATGTTGAGGCTGCTTCTTGGGCAGGGACGAGGGGCAGGTTCTTGGGTCTGGAGTCTCTGCCCGGGGCTCTTTGAGCTTTCCCAGTTGGTGAGATTGAAGGATTTTCCATCTGATCCCTGTCCTGGGCTGCCGTGGGCCTGAGTTCTGTTAAGTCTGGATTGTCACGTATGGTCGCCCAGGAGGCACAATGGATAATTAAATGGGTGGATGATGCTCAGTTCTGAACACTCCAGAGAGCACCCTCTGGCTTTTGATGGAGTGCCCCCGTGCACACGCAGGACACGCCTACTACAAGCATCTTCTGTCCCTCTCTCTCTATATGCCTGGTGCAAAGCTCCATGGCGGCCAAGGGCCCAGGCGAGGCCCTCGGTTGGCGCATGACTGATAAAGCAGAAATCTGTCGTGAGGGCAGCGGGCAGCCCTGTCTCTGGCCTGTCTTCCTGGCCCCCTCTTGCTGGATTGGGTCATCTTCTCAACTGCTCTGTCCTCCCTCCACTCCTGGCAGATCCATGATTTGTTCACGAGCTTCGACGACACCCCTCTGGGGGCAGCCTCCCTGGCCCAGGTCCACAAGGCGGTGCTACGTGACGGGCGGACGGTGGCCGTGAAGGTCCAGCACCCAAAGGTGCAGGCTCAGAGCTCGAAGGACATGCTCCTGATGGAGGTGAGAGCTGTTTCTTCCTTTGTCCTCAGCCTACGTTGCCCCTGGATCCTGGCAGCCCCAGTGACGCTGGTTCAGGCTGGTGGGTGGAGGGTGGCCCTTTGAGCAGCAGAATAAGAGAGGAGGGCTGAGACCACAACAGAGGAGGGGGCATGGCAACTCTGTGATCACAAGACCCTGTGGTGGGGTCGTCAGTTCTTGTCCCTGGAAATTGCCTGTGATGGTCTCAGAACACTCTGAGCAGCTGCTGGGCCCTAGGGGGAGGGGACCTCGTGGGCATGTTGCAGAAATGAGATGAACCAAACATGATTTCCTTGGGGGTATACAAAGTTACATCTTAACTTGTTAAATTATAACAAAAGGGAGTATGTGGTCTACAGGGATGTAAAAACAACATGCAGATCACATAGAAATATTTTTTGCAGATTGCAGGTTTGCTTATCTGATAGTTGTTTTGAATGGACATACCGTGTTTCCTCAAAACTAAGACAGGGTCTTATATTTATTTTTCCTTAAGAAGACACCCTAGGGCTTATTTTCAGAGGATGTGTTATTTTCCCCTCCAAGCCTCAGCTTGCAGCACTCACAGGATGGCTGGGACCTGATGGGGAGCCGACCTTGCTGGTGGGACTGCCCACACCTTTATGGTCACCTCTGGGGTAGTAGCTGTCATGATGGGGTAGATGAGAAGGGCTGCTCGTCTTCTTTACTGCTCCGCGATGAAATGCATGGGTTGTGCAGATACTCTGTGTAGCCACGCCCATCATTAGGTCTTATTTTTGGGGTAGGGCTTATATTGGGCAAATGCTTAGAAATCCTGCTAGGGCTTATTTTATGGGTAGGTCTTATTTTTGGGGAAACACGATACTTACCTGCCTGAAAAGGGCCATAGGAAATGCCCTAGTGGACTCATAACATGCTCCATGTTTTCTAGCTCCATACTCAGAACAAGGGAGAAAGAGGGTGAGCTGGGCATTGCTTGGGGCAGTAGCCAGCACCCCACACAGGGAGATCAGCAATCTATTTAACATGCTAGCATGTCCCTCTCCTTCTCTTCCTTTTCTCTGTCCCTGTCCCTTGTTCCCTTTTCTCACTCTGGAATCATAGTTTATTCTTTGAACTCATTCTAACACAACTTAACACATACATGGAGAGTCTCTTCTGCACCAGGCACTAGGTGGGTGCTGGGGACATGTGAGTGAGTGAGCTCCGTCTTCGTCTCACAGAGCTCCTCGTTTAGTAGAGGAGACAGTTTTGTCAACAGCCACAGTGTGGGGACGTGAGCTCTGTCAAAGGGGTATTTGCAGAGTGCCATGGACCACTGTGCCTAGATGGATGGCTGTTGCCCAGGGTCTGCAGCGAGGAGGTGACTCTTGAGATAGCTGGGCAGGGGGAGCACAGCCCAGCATGTGTGAAGGCCAGAGTCCTAGAGGAACAGGGTGTTCAGATGGTATGAGCTGGGAGTGGCTGGAGATGAGGCCAGGAAGACAGACAGGATAGAACCAGGAGGGCCTTCCGTTCCAACTAAGGTGTAGAACGGTGTACACAGGCAATGCTCAATACATATTTGTGGACCTGAGTAAATCTGATTTTCTCCTGTAGTCAGTGGGAAACCATTTAAGAATTTTAATAAGGGACTGTCATGGTCAGATGTGCATTAGAAATAAAAATCTGTTGGCAGTCTGGAAGATATATCGGAAGGCAGAAAGACTGTAGCCAGGAGACTAATTGGGTGGCTGCAGCACTGGTCTGAGAGAGAAACAATGATGTGAAGCAAGGCAGTGTGGTGGAGGTGGAGGAGATGCAGGGCCGGGGGTGGAGTCATCAGGACCATGTGACCTGCTTTACGTGGGGTGGGGGCAAGTGCTGTCATGAACGAGGAGGAGATTAAATGATTAAGTGTTGGTGCCTTTTACCATGTACAGTTGTGTCCCCTTATCGGTACAGGATACGTTCCAAGACCCCCAAAGGATGCTGCAAACCTTGAATAGTGCTGAACCTTGTGCATACTGTTTTTTCTTATATTACATACCAATGATAAAGTTTAATTTATAAATTATGCACAGCAAGAGAGTAACAACAGTAACTAATAATAAAATAGAACAATATGCTATAATAAAAGTAATGGCTGGGCGTGGTGGCTCACGCCTATAATCCTGGCACTTTAGAAGGCCAAGGCAGGAGAATCACTCGAGGCCAGGAGTTTGAGACCAGCCTGAGCAAGAGCGAGACCCTGTCTCTACAAAAAAATAGAAAAATTAGCTGGGTGTGGTGGTGTTTGCCTGTAGTCCCAGCTACTTGGGAGGCTGAGGCAGAAGGATCGCTTGAGCCCAGGAGTTTGAGGTTACAGTGAGCTATCATAATGCCACTGCACTCTAGCCTGGGCAATAGAGTGAGACTCTATCTCAAGAAACAAAATGTGAATGTGGTCTCTCTCTTTTTCTGTCTCTCAAAATATTGTACTCAGCTATTTTCAGGCCATAGTTGACTGCAGGTGACTGAAACCTAGGAAAGCAAGACCCTGGCTATGGATGGACTACCATATATCAGACATGGATCAGTCAGGAAAAAATAAATTGCTCTAGGTATTTCAAACAGAGGGAATTTAAAACAGAAAACTGGATTTATAAGAGTCAGAATTGCTGAGAAGCCAGGTGGGGTGGTGAGACGGTCACCAACACAGTAAGCCACTGCCACTCTCAAGGTGGAGAGACAAAGAGGCGACGTGGTTCTCTGGAGCCCAGGAGCTGGGACCCCCTGGCAGAGGCTGGGACTGTGGAGAGCTTGTCCACTGGGAGCCAGATCACAGATGTGGGGCTTATCGCCTGGGAGTTGGAGCCACAGATGCTGTTTGAGGCAGAGGCTTTTTCACCTTCTCCTGTCCCCTGATATTCCATCAGCCTGCCAAACTTTGCTGGAAGCCAGTTAGTAGCAAGAGACCCTGGCAAATGTAGGTTCTCATGAGAGAGTAAGGGAGTTGGGATGGATCTCAGAGCAAAGCGACGTGAGTAGTGGCTCAAGCATAGGGGTAAGACGCTGCTGTCGGTAGTTTTGGATAAGGCTTTCCCTGTCCATCTGGAGTCCAGGCTGGAATATAGATTTAGGACTTAGAGGAAAGTTACTCATGGCAGCTGAATCTGGGGGAGTAGTTGAGATCACTTAGAGAAGGATTGTAGGGTTGTAAAAGAAGAGAGAGGGCAAGGAAAAAACCACAAGGAACATCACTGTTTCAGGCATGAGCCCACGAGGATAAGTGCATGACTAAGAAGGCATGGTCAGAGAGGCTGGAGGATAACCCAGACTGAGTCATGCTGCTACATCCAGTGGAAAAAAATTCAAGAAGAGAGCACTGTTATCAGTTATCTAATGCTGCATAATGACTCACTTCACAACTTGGTGGCTTAAAACAAGTCATATGTTTTGCTTGTGAATCTGCAGTTTGGCCAGGGCTTGGCAGAGAAATGCACCTGTTTTATGCTGGGGGTAGCTTGATAGGTGCTGGAGGAGCCACTCTCCAAGGTGGCTTATTCCTGTGGCTGGCAAGTTGGTGTTGGCTGTTGTCTGGGACCTCTGCTGGGGCTGTGGGCCAGGGCCTTAGTTTCTCTCCATGTCAGCTTCTACGTAGCTCTTTGGGCTTCCTCACAGCATGGTGGCTAGGTTGTAAGAGCAAATGTCCCAAGAGAGTAAGGCTGAAAGCACATCACAGTTTTGTGACCCAGCCTTGGAAGGCATATGGGATGACTTCTTCCTTACTCTATTGGAGGAAGCAGTCACAAAGGCCCCTTAGTTCAGGGGTGGGGATATAGACTCTGTTTCTTAATGGCAGAGTGGCAAGGTTCTAGAAACATATTAGAATGGGAGAGATTGTTGCAGCCATTTAGGAAAGTATAATCTACCTGAATTACTCAACATTGTCAAATGGGAGATCAAATCAGTAAAGCACTGAGAAGAGTACTTTGGATTTGGTGATTTAGTATTGTTAGGAAGAGCAGCTACAGTGGCCTGAGGGGGGTGCAAGAGAATTAAGACCCAAGGAAGTGTAGAGACCCTTGATGTAGCATATACTGTTTTTAAATGTTTAGCTGTGGAAGGCTGAGGAGAGTTAGGGTCGTAGTTAGAGCAGAGTATGGCATTAAGTGCTGGGGAGACTCGAGCAGGCTTGTAGCTGATGGGGAAGGAGAGAGGATTGGGGGTTCAGCAGAGAATTAATTGCTAGATCAGATCCAGGAGAAGATTCAAGAGATTGGGCACCAAGAGCACAGGTGGAAACATTAGCCCCTGCTTAGCCTTTGTTTTGAGCTCAGAGGAAGGTGGTAAGGGCTGGGCGCAGACGAGTGTTTGGGGCAGAGGGGAGAGGGGTAGGGAAAGTGGGCAGTGAGTGTGTAGTGGCCTGGTAGCCTCTATTTTTCCTCAGAAGTAGGAGGCAAGACCATCTGCTGAGAATGAGGGGGTAGAAGGTGGCACTGGAGGCTTGAGGTGGGTGAAGGTTTGGAGTACTTGCTGTGTATGACGGAAGAGGGAGCTGGCTGGAGCGAGATGACAGGACTGCTGGGAGCCATCCTGGGGGCATCCTCCTGGAAACTTGAGTTTTTGAGCACCTGTCGGGGCTATGGAACAGCCATAGCTGGGAGAGAAGCGGGAGTCTTGGACGATCCCTGGGCTTCCTAATTCCTAGCAGCCACTCCTGACTCAGGCAGGAGCTTGCCTCTGCCCAGCAGTGCCACTGGGGCCCAGTTGGGCTGGGAGGACAGCTGTCACTTTTTCTCTGCTCAGAGCCTCGCTGGCTCCCTAAGTAATGGTTGCTGTAAGGTCATAGCAATAATAGCAGTGATAAAGATTTGGCATCTTCCTCCCTAAGATAAGCATCAGATGCTCTTGGGAAGCACGGCCTGGCAGGCTGTGTGCAGAGTAGAGTGGCTCCTTGGCGGTGGCTGAGGCAGTGCTGGGCCAGGACTGCAAGGCACAGCCGAGATGCACACTCACAGCCTTCAGGAAAACAGCCC